ATCTAGTAACTGTTAAAATTTCAATGCTTTGTCATTGTTTTTATGCAAATGTTCATACAACCTCAATCGCTGGAAGTCACATGTACCCTTTTAAAACCCGGAAGGGTACTCGATTATTTCCGCGAGTTTTCGCACCGCAGGAACAATTGTATCTGCGCGTCGCGTCGTACGGGCGGGCCGGTGTTTTCGGTCCGGTTTACGCGCGACGGATTTGCCATTTCGTTGACTCGAAAAAGAGCCGCTGCGTATCGACGGGAAATCGATCCCGACCGGTCGGACCATCCTTTTGTTGCTTTTGTTGCAGCCGCGAGAACGCGTTCGTGAAACAAGGTCACGCGGTTGGGTAAAACCGGGTGAAAAATGAGGTGAAATATAGAAGGAAATGGAATACAATTTTAGGAGAGGAAATATTTGGGTGCTAAAGGAGAAAAAATGGAATGGGAAGGGGGAAGGAATTGTGAAAGGGGAATCGTGAAAGGAGGAAGGAATTTAGAGGATGATAATAGAATAGAGTGTAATATAAAAAAGGGGCGATTAAGGAGGAGAAAATGGGGGGAAAATTCAGCATGGAAATATTGGAAAATTAATACCAGAGAATACTGTGCAAAAGTTCACTGGATTATTAAGACAGAAAATAAATATGATAGGAAACAATAGAGTCAGAGAGAGAAAAGGAAGAATGTTGTAGGAAGAATTAAAAAAGTAGTAGGAGGAGAAAATTACGTAAAAAGAAGAAAAGCCTGAACAAGGAATCTTGTGATGTTATAAAAGCAGGAAGGGTCGCAATGAACGAGCGAAAGGGTGAAAACAATTGGTGGAAGGTATAAAAGGGTTGGTGCATTCAAAGGGAGGCTAATTGTGAGGAATGTGCTATCGAAATTTACGAGACACTCGAACCGTGGAACGTCACGCGAGCAAGCCACAGCCTGGTCTAGCTTAATCCCCGTCGATTTGATCTCGGTTTTGTCACGAGTGCTGCACTCATAAACAATGAGCACCAATCTGCTAAAAGCGACAGCGAATTTTATTGTTAAGCAGCTCTTATCGCGGTGATGAATGCGACTAATGCAATTCTGGTACTTTTGGCTGAAAAAGGACGTGGAACATTATTTTGCTGTTCAATTTAAAAATAGACGATCATCTTGTCGAAAAATACGTCTGTCATCGGCATAATTCTCATTTCGTACTATTAGTTCATGATAATTATTACACGGCCCTTGTTTCACATTTCGTAACAAAACACCGCCTCGTACTTGCAATTTCGTTCCACTTCTCTGCGCGCATGCATTCATATACGAAATAAAATCCGTGGGAAGCGGTCGAACGTCAGCACGAGTCGGTTTCCGCGCTGATTTCCCCGAGACAGTAATCCTAGGTAACACGGCACGCAGTGCAACTCTTTACCCCGTTCTTCCAACCCCCGGGTCCACTCTCGCTGGCGCTTTCATCGGATAAGCAAACTGTGGCTTATACGAGAATGGAACACGGGAACGCTGAAGGGCTCTCCTGAACTGTTCGTGTTTATTCCTATTTACGTTTTTCTCTTCAGCGATGGCGTTCACGGTTAAAGAAACTGTTTCTTCATTGAAATCGTGAAGTGATTCTTGTTTGATGCGCTAGATGAAACGTATTTCCATGTACTTTCAACTTTCTCGTCTTTTTCGTAATTGTACTCGTTCAACACTTTTACACGAATTAAATGTCAATTGCTCTTTTACAAAGCTAGATAAATACACTGTACGAAATGATTACGTAATGTAAAAAGAGTTCGATCGGTGAGAGTTTCTTCTATTACAAATTAACTGAAGCTAAACGAGCTGAAACACGACGATTTTGTACGAGATCGAATTTCGCCTGCATAATTACGTAATCTGGCCAGCGTCGCATCGCGGAAATTTTCCGGTAATTCTGGCTGGCTGGCCTGTGCTCGTTCGAGCGAGTCGAGACATCGCCACCCTCTCGCAAGTTCGAAGAGAACAGATTCGAAAGTCGTTCCACTATGCCAGGAGCGAACCTATCAAAGACCGTGTTCTTATTTAGCGACCAGCGCGGCGCTTTTTGTATAATCGGGTTACGACCGAGTTCGAGCCGCGATCGATCGCCTCGTTCGCGCTTCTCGGCTTGTTTGTCGGTCCGGGACCAAGTTTTTCCACCAATTTTTGATTTATCCTTCGGAATTTAGGGCACTCGATGTCTGGTTCCTTCGGATCGAAGCGTGTTTGCCGTTTTCTAAAAGAAAAACTGCATCGAACGATTGGCTGGGCGATAAAAATTTCTGTTGAACAATCAGATCGTATAATATCGTCGTTACACATGTTGTGATTGCATTACTAATGGCACATTTTATTCCTACGTAATCCAAGTATTACGTCTCATTAATGTACAAATAACGTCTACATATCACGCGAGAAGTTATTGAATGTGATTCACGATAATTGATAATCGTTGATTGAATTTTCGTTGGGCTCGCTTATATGGACGGACGTGAATTTTCATGTACGAGCCACGTTCCGCTGTGACACGATTTGGTTTACGGAAATGAAATTTCGTCCCGCTGCCCTCGTAAACGGCGGGATCGCTGTCGCTAATAAAACCGAGAGCTGCGCAGGTAGCCGCGCGCCGTCGCGTTTTCCTTCTCCAATTTTCCTCCCGCGACTCTTTATCCCCTTCTTTCTCTTTCCGTTCCAACGTGAAAACACGAGACTTAACTTCGTAACAAGTTCGCGTGGAAATATGTAACCGCCGACCTGACCAAAATAAAATAAGCGTAGGTCAGGAAACGAGTTAGGTCGGGATAAAAACCAGGAGTCTTTTGGTACAATCAGGTTCCAAGAAAAAAACGAGAATTGAGGATCTTAAACGAAAATCGAGTAAGTTGAAAAAATCCATCGGGCGAGGGATTTCGACTGTGTCATTTTCGGGGAAACAATTTGTACGCGTGACGACGATTCCTTGGGGGTAACAGGGGGCAACGGGAGGGGCAGGGCCCGGTGACACGTAGCGATCTGTGAAATTCGTCCTTCTAATTTAATTTGCCCCCCAGTGTAGTTTTTCGATCATCCGTGAATCCCCCTCGGGATACGCTTGTCGCGTTCCGAAACAACCGCGCGTCACGCGTCGCAACGATGTTGATCCTCTGGTAAACGTTACAAAGAGTCCTAAATAATTATCGCGATCCGTGTAAAATATTTGTTAAACGGTAACGTGGATCTGCTTTGTATCCTGCGTGCATTTTAAACGGATTTCATTTACATACAATTTGCATACAACGCTTGAATTATAGAAATTAAATTGTCACACATGAATAAAAACATTTTAATAAAATGGGCCATAAATTAAAGACTAACATTTCGTGAAAACAGATGATTATTTCTTATTTATTAATCGCAGGGTTTCAAGCTGCTACTTCAGGTTTCCAATAAAATCTTATCTCAGCTTTTGAGAATCCGCTGAGAAATATCAAAAGAATAAAACATCGATCCCCCGGTTTTAATCAGATTCGCGAGCGTCTTGGGTCGTTCCTGTCCTCCGCGGTTTAATTAGACGCTCCGCGAACAGTCCGGTGGCAATCGGTAATTGATGAACTGCAAATCGACCGCAGACGGTTTGGCGAGGTGTCCCGGCGCGCGCCGGTCAAGCCTGTCGTTAACGTCGGCCCGCAAGAAAAACGGGATCTATCTGGATCAAGTGGCTCTCGCCCGGATGATTTATTATACGCGTCAATCCGGAGATAACTTTGCCTGAGAAGCGAACCCGGTTCCGTGCTCCGGCTTGCCTTTTGCGCACGTTTTCTAGGATATAGTACGACTTTTAAAAATATTACTCGAACGATGATATTGATTACACCACAAAAGAGTGCGTTCTCTATAAAAAGCTAGCCAAGCATTTGGAGCAGAAGTAGGCTGCTTTGTCGTCAGCACCAGAAATACGCGTGCCTGTGTAACAAAAAATAATAATTACTTTATTTTTAAATTTTCTGTATGTTTCCTAGGTGGATAATTTTGATCTCTGAAAATTTCGCTTTCAACTCTCGTAATATTTGGCCCGAAAAATTTCATTCTCTATGCCTGAGCACGACGTCTGGCCGCGTCTTCCCTGTGACGGGTACGAAACTTCGGAAGACATTATACTTGAGAAGAATATTATACGTTTGAAAGGCTGTCGGGCTAAAAAGCTCCTGGTCCGTTAAAAGGCACATCGAATCAGTTGCTTTCCAGCTGAAATTTCCGTCCTCCGAGCCGAGCCCTCTTCAGACGGTACATGCCTGTGTACATCCTTGCACACTCACGCGTTCTTCCCGTTTCGTACAACTTTTTGCGTCGGCTTCTTCCATATTTACGGCTGCAGTCGGCTAACCAGCAGCATGTGTATCTCTCGTGCGTGTGTCCTTTGAAGCTTCACTATTTAGCGATGAAACCAAAGCGATCCTCTTTCCGTGTGCGACGGAGTGGCGAGATAAGGACCGCTTTTAGGCAAAAATTTAATTTTGTCCGCTGCCTCCGGCTAACTTTCTTCCTTTCGAAAGTGAACATAGTCATTCTTTATATTGAGACTTCTTTCTAACGTTTCAACATTTTCTATAAAACTGTCAGAGGGAACTGTATTAACGTGCTCTTTTATTGACTTCTGTTTTAGCTCGCTTGGAGGAAGAAAGGGGTGCGTCGCACGCTCAGCTTTTGTGGTCAGCGTGCCAGACCTTGGCTCGGGCTGTGAAATCCGCTTCGCCAGGTACTCCCATAGATGAGGCCATCAGGCCCCTCGAACCAGAAATCAGGGCCATCGCCAAGGCAGCACGTAAGTAATTATTTCTTGAAACATGTTGTTGTTTTTTTTTACAAGCGAAAGAGAAAAATTATTATTAACGATCTCTGGTCTGAACACGAGACTGCATTAGGGCTGTAATTGCATGTGGTGTATACGTGGGGTAGTTAACATCGTTGCTATTCACGCGAGGAACATTTTATGAGCAATGAGAGAGAGAGAAAATGCATCACGCGAGACCTCATTGATTATCATTAACTGATACGCGTATACGTGCATTAAATATCGTTACATTTCGCGAAGCCGCTATCAAGAGTTCGAGCGCGATAATCTCGTTTCAACCCTCGCTCCAATCTAATGCGCTAGTCTTCGACCGGAATTCTGTCGCGAACAGAACGGAACGTGAGATAATTTGCGATCCCACTGTGCTATAATGTTCCATGAGCTACGACTGGTTCAATTGTTGGCGAGTTCTAATTTAAAAGTGTGAGAAAGCTTCTTATGATATTCTGTTCAAAGTAGAAATAATTGGGAGAATTGATTATTCTAAGGAATTCGTAGAAGCTGTTATAAGAAAATTATTTTTATTTTGGTTTGCTATTGAAGAATTCTTATTAGAACAAAATTTCGATAACTGGGCACAGTTCTAATTACAGAATCTTTGAATTGTTTTAAAATAAATATCGTTTTGCTGCGAAGATAAATTCCTGTTTCTCAATATGAACGGAAATCCCAAGGACCGTTTCCATAGACTGAACAAACGGGAACAGGGAGCGATACGAATCCCCTCGCACACCCCGCTCATAACTCTTTCCTCCCTAACGAAGTAGAAAAAAGGCGTGCTTGAACAAGAAGCAAGCCCGTGTAACCGGGTCGAGCAGATTAGTATTCCCGGTCGTGCGACGATTATATTTTTCTATATTTTATCGCCGGCCACGACCAACTGAAAAATTGTACGGCGATCGTTTTAATTTCCAGACAGGGAAACGTGGTGGGGGTGGAGGGAAGATTTACGACTTAATCGGCGGTGAACGAGCATAAACGCTTTCGCCCGACGTGGCGGCGTTGTTCGCGTGTTAGCCGCATTAATTATGCAACCGCGTACCCGTTTAATCGTGGAAAGCATTCGACTGAACGTTTATCGCGCTCGTCCCTTTTTTTTTTCCATCCCCTTTCCACCTTAACGAGAATGGGTTTGAATCGTTTGGGCAATCACGTACGCCTCTGAGATTTTTCCAACTTCGCGATTAATAATGGAAATTGTGGCAAAGTTAAGATTAAAAGGATACAGAAACGAACTTTCATAAATCCTTAAACGAGAGCATAATCAAACTGTTACTATGCTTGAATTTGTACGATAAAAGAAGAAAAAATCTGATATGTATAAATCTCCTATGTGTATGATTTAACTTCTCTTTCAGATTAAACTTTTCAATGATGAATTTGTGAAATTATAATATGGGAATATTACAGAGTTTCTATGTTTGTAGAGGGATAATAACTTAAACATTAATAGGGCAAAGCCGTGAAAATTATGCGAGTTATTACAACAGATCAAAGTTTAAATTATGGGATTTTCTGACCGAATCCTTGTAGAATTCTCCCTAATCGAACCCTGGAGACCCCTCCTTCCTGAAACGTATGAAATTTCAAAATCTGCTGATAGTAAATCCTTCGAGATATATTGCCTCCATTTCCAATTATCGTACATTCGTTAGCTAACAAAATTTTATGTAATTATTTAAATGTTACGTAAATGTTTAAACATCATAAATCTAAATGTTCTATTATTTAGTAACATTAGTCTTCAGTCTGAATATTTGTCGCTACCTTTTACCTTGTGTATTTTATTTAAATATCTTATCAGTAACGAGTTCATGAAATTTACGATTCTATTTTATCCTCTTTCTCTCGCCGACTTCTGTGTGGAAACAAAACGTGAATTCTATAGAGCTACGCGTACTCGAAACCCAATGAATATTCGCCCGAGCGGCAGTGCTGCGAAAGCTCATTAACCGAATTAAATAGCCGCCTAGCTTTCGGGAAAAGCCCGGTCGATCGGTTGAAATCAAATCGCGTTCACGCGCTCGTCGATAGACACAGAATAGCCTAAAATTGGATTCGAGTTATTAAAAAGATATCCAATCTTTGTTCCTTTGATCTTTCGAATCAAATTTTAGAATCGGTTATTGTGAGATCAGAAATTTTATGAATCTAAAAATATGCTTTAGAAATTATATTCAAATACATTTGTATTAATTAAAATTGAAACGAAGTCTAGTCTATCTTTTAATTTCCTATATTGATTTCTACAACAAAAATTATAAAATAATATACTATAATTCCAATCATTTCTGGTCACCATTTCAATTATTAAAATCATTTTTGTCGACGTGTTTAATTTAGTGTTTTTGTAGTTTGATCATAATGTTGGAGAACGACAGAAGTTAGCAGCGACGCCAATATCGTAGGTATCGCCGGCGAACGAATATAAATTTTAGGCACCTCGGAAAGTGAGAGGGCTCAAAGTTTCCTGCACCGTTCCATCCCCCGCGGGGTCGTTTATCACAGTTTTCCGGCAGCGGCATTTCGCAAAATCGCAAAATAATGTATTCCACCGAAGTAACGGCATCTGGCGTTAATGCAATTTGTTTAAAGAGTGGTTTGGCCAGCGTCAAACGTCCCCAACCCCTCCAGATGTTAATCAATTCTCCGGTCGGAAATTTCGGTTAATGCGATAGCGATAATTTCACGCCTCTTTTTCCACTCCCTTTCCCATCCTTCGTTCGTTAATTGTGATAAACTGACCGATCGATTTTCCTTTGACTTTTCAAGTTTAATTTCGACGGACGATATTGAATTTTAGTTAGCTCGGCCAGAATTTATGTGCCGACCGGTACCTCAGTGTAAGATTTTAATTTATTCAATTAAATTTTCCAGTTCGCCTAATAGGCTGAATGATTAAATGGTTATTGACATTTGGTTAACCCTCGCGTCTTTTCCATGTGTTTTTTCAGCGAAAGAGGATCCTTTGGTGGAGGCAGCCATTCAGGGAATTCCTGAGGTAGCCGCAAAGAGAGGAGTATTCCCGGAAGACGTCCTTCGTGCGAGATTCCTCAAGGTAATTTTACGCTGACCTCGTGTTTAACCATCTTACAATCCCCCAGAAACAATCTCCTTTCTACAAACTTGAATCAAATTTATTTCCATTCAAAAATCTGTTCCATTATAATTAACTAACCGCGCCGTGTGTCTTAACTTTTATTTAATTCATTCCTATTTCTTTTCATCTCTCGAAAAAATTATCAAAATTTGTGCAAACACGCGTAAGTTTATTCCCTCTGCTCGAGGAATTTCTCATTACGTTTTACTCCCTGAAATTTTATCACTTTGAAAATTATTATTATACGTCTGACCTACGACGACGCTTCCTCGTAAATCCTTTTGCGCGAGTTTTCTCCGAATGGTGCTTTCCAAAAATTGTTGGATGAAAATTTTTTCATGCTACCATTCAAAGTTCTTCCACGAAATTTCATCCTTTGAGGGAAATGTTAGAGCTAACTTAAAGCCTGATCACCATTTACGTTTGTTTCTACTATCGAATTCGCGAGAAGTTTTTCTTGGGAATCGTGAGGGTAGATTGAATTCGAAACCGAGTTTGTCCCGAGGAAATTTCAGACAATGTCGTCCGTTCGGCTGGAGGGTAATAAATTTTCTCACTGAAGCGTTTACTTTCTTTCTTATATCGCGTGAAAAATTTACGAGCCGGAAACCGGGTTGCAGGTGGAGGAAATGGCCAGACGATTGGCTATGGTGCCGGAGGAGGGTGCCGCGTTGCCGGTCTACATCCTCAGCTATCTCCAGAGTTGTTTGATGATCAAAAACGCCAGCCCCATACCACAGCGCGAGATCGAGGACCACCCGATCGACGTCGACTCCCTCAACACTTACGATATACTCCATCGGGCCAGGTAAGTGCCTCTCCTCTAAAATTTTATTTTCCATTTTAACGCGGCCCTGTCTACCAGCCATTTTACACTCTCCTGTGGCGATTTAACATTCAATATTCACTGCGTTGATATAGCGTATTATAAATATGAAGAGAACAGCTATTTCTTCAGAAAACGTGATAAAACGCTTGTAGTTTAAATATATAATGTCTGTAAATTTATAATAGCTTTGAATATTCTATTGAAAATTCAATTAGTTTAAGTATCCTCAGACCTTTAAAATCGTTCAGTAATTGTAACGATTTACAAACTCTCACAATGCAGTAATATGAAAACAAGACTCCATTGAGCTGCAAACACGATAATGCTATTACGAGGTAGAAATGAGATGGGTTTATTAATTAGAGGGTGAAAACGACGTACTGTGAAAAGAACAAGGAAATTAATTTTCCGGCCGGTATCTCGGGTTCACGCGGTTCGGTTTATCGACGCCGCGTTTCTTATGGCCGGCTGCGGGATTTGATGACGGTGTTGTCGTCGGTTCTTTGTCAACCGACACGTTCAATGCTTTGTTGGAGCCCTTTGGCCACGGGGTGAAACGAGCGGCAATCGATGCTCGCACGCAACCAGACTTTTTTTTCCCCATTTTCCTTTTCGTCTTTCACGCCACTATTTCGTATCGTTAGACCGTTTACCTAATTGCTATTCTCAGTGAAAATTCACGAACTAATTATACACGTGACGAATTCCAATTTTTGTTAAATTCTAGTATTTTGACGAAGGATTTTTTGCTTTGAGAAATTGCGACCATGCGAATAATAGTGCATTCGGAGAAGTTTATTTAATGAAAACCGTAGGGCGATATCGTTGAAGAAATATTGCAGATCCTTTTGAGAATTCTGCAGTTCGTACTTTTTGCATGGGGAAATTCTCTTTAGCGATATGAGCGTTAAGGCTCGTTTGGCTTCGTGTAGCCGCATGACGCGCATGGAGTATCGCGACGTTAACTGCGTATACACGGGGGGGTGAATTAGGAGTAAGTATAACGATACGTGACGTGGGTGTGGCGCGTGGTATTCAGCCGACAACGAGATAACTTCTGACTTATCAACGTGGAAACGGTGTGTTGTAAGTCGTAAGTAACGGAGAACGCTGGAAGATAATCGCCGTAGCACCGGCTCTCAGCACTTTCCACGGTTTTCGATATTTTTATGCAAATCTCTAACAGTCGATCGTTTGTATTTTAATTAAACGGTGAAAGTTGCAAATTTTTCTATTAAACAGCGGGACTTTATCTTTTAGTATGCTCAACGTTCATAAAAGATATCCCGGCAGTGCTTAATTTAAAAAATTTTACAGATAGAATTGTTGAGAATTTTTTACGAATAAAAATACACAACAGGATTTTGTATCTCTGACACGGCGCAGGCTTTTTATTTTCGTACTTATAAAGGATCTAACAAAAAATTTGAAATTCGCGGCCCGTAATCGCTGACCCCCAATAAGTTTCGGGAAATATTAAAAAATGCAAGTACATCCGGAGCCAGGCTGAAATATGGCAATTTCGGCGGGCGGCGCGGCACGGTAGTGAATTTACCGGGCGCGTATTGCGCCCTTCGCGCGACGGCGGACGGGGGCAAAGAGCAGAACGAGGAGCGAGGGAAAAAAAAATACGGCATGCATAAAGAAGTGGACGGATAAAACGCGCGCGGTCCGCAAAATATGCATATCATAGATACGCGGCTCGTTCCGCAGCGAACGGTGAAAAAGGAAGTGCTTGAATTCGCGTCAGACCTACTAACTCCGAGTGGTGAAAGTACATCCGGTGTTGGAGAACGGGAGAGGAGCGGGCCGTCGCGTCGGTGGGTGAAGATCGGCGTGGGGGGGGGAGTTGAAACGCGAAATATGGCAGCGCAAATACGCACGTCGCGGGTTCCGGACACGAATTCCTGGACGCGAAATTTACAGGAATTCGCGTTGCGCGGAAAAACAGGCTGAACGCGACGCAAATCGGCCGCGTGGAATCGTGAAAGTAATTAAGGGGTTAATAGAGGTAGGTGAGATGAATGGATGAGACAGGGTTATATCATAAACTATGCCAGCTTAGGCGTGGGAGATGATTAAGTGATGGATGGCGGTCGGGTAATTAAGTTGTATATATTTTAATGAGACGCAGCCCACCCGCTTTTTGTCGCGTTTAGTTCATTCTCCCGGCCTTTTGGAATGTTTATGCTTCATTAGCCTTAGCCCATTTACGTATATTAAATTTGAAAATCAACGGCGTGAAATGATTTCATGGTTAATCGCGGAAATGTTGTAGTTCAGTAAAACAATTCGCTTCCTGTGAAGCATTCGTAATTCTAAATATCGAATAAGCTAATGATTTCAAGTGGGATCATTGATTCGGAAGGAGTTAACAAGTTTATAATCGGAAACAGCAGTTTCCTCGGTTCCAGTCTTATTGATCCCATAAATCACGGTTGGCGGTCGAAGGAACCGGGAGCTGCGGGTAATATCTCGGGAACGAGACGAAAACACCTGGGCTAATATACGTCGAACACAGCCGAACGGCGGCCACGATCGTTTTGTTCGAATCTTTCCAGTTTCCTGGTTCGTGTCGTCGTTTTGTCGCTCGTTTCCGGCGCAGAAAGTTCACCAGCGGCCGTAAAACTGGTGGCTAACACGAGGAGGTCGGTCCCGGCTTCCTGGAAACCAGCCCGGTCCCGCCTTTTGTTCGTGGGATCGACCTCGACGGAATTGGCCCAGTTCATTATGCAGCAGGTTGATTAGATTCGAGGTTCGAGTGTCGGCCGGATGTTTGGATTCGCCCCGCCGATTTCAGGTTTTGTTACAGTCTTGCGTCGCGCCGGCTCTTCCGCCCCCGCAGCTTGCTTTGTAAATTGGTATTTGCGGCCGTTCTATCGCGTAAGCATTGTCTGCCGGGACGATAGCGAATGGAAGGGGGAGACAGTTTGTTTGATTGCTTTCTTTCCTGATAGTGGGCGGATCGAACCACTGCTTTCGATCGCTTTAGAATTTTATTTCATGTTTCACAATGCCGATTTACATGTAAACTGATTCAATGGATGATTGACATTAGCAAAACTTTGAAACTTTCACTGTACAGAGATACTATTTTTATTTTATCGTCTAAATTGAATTAAGGTTGTACGAGCCGTACGATCTCTGCCAAAAGTTTAAGACATGTAATAAAAAACTGTGTCTAATATTTGAAGTAATGAACTTCCAGAAAAAATTATAATTACAAAGGAGTCAGGTTTATAAAATTGGTCGACCTGTTTTTCTCAGTCATAAGGAGTTTTTAACGTATCATTTCTAATATTCTAATATATACATTGGTTTAAGTAGTATAACTCAGTACGTCGTGTATATTATCTGCCTGTACTACTCGGAATTCTTTAATCTAAATCCAGCAGTATTGCGTTTTTCCTTTTCAATTATTTGAGTATCACATTTGATTGAATACTTTCAGGCTACATACGCTTCTGTTAAAGAAAACTAAATTGAATTCTTTTTTCAAAGGATCCTCATTTGACCACGAAGGCAGTCGGAATTGGTTTCCATATTTAAAACTGGGAAGAGAATCAATTTAAAACCTCGAAATTACCATCTGCCCCCTTGACCGACCGACTAATTCCCGTTTCCATCAAAATGAAAATCGCCTCGGCGATAGGTCAAATATTTTTCTGAAACGAACGTAGACCGCGGCACTTCTTCCCTTGAAATTAAAGTTACCGTCCGCACGAGAATTCGCTTTAAGGTCTCATCCGGTTAACGATCCGCGGGGGCTGAAATTAAAATTAGCAAAGTTCGAATGGGAATCGAAGTGCATTAGCCGCTGCGGTCGAAGTTTAGCGAAATTCAATTAGGCGTCGCGGTCTTTTCACTTTCGTTTCGAACCGTTCTCGCTGGTGTGACTAACCGATTCAGTGGCTCGTTTGCAGAATAAAAGCGGTTGATCATACCGCTTCCTCGGCGCCGTTAAACGCGATATAACAAATCGGACGATCCATTGAATATTAAATAGATCGTGTTGCCGTTTGACCATGTTCCATTTCTCTAACCAATTTATACAAACATGCAAACGTGAAATGTGATGCACAGCGCAATATTAATTTCAATGTTGTCCGAAATCCTCTTGTTCGATGTTCTATGTTATACGAATGTATTTGCATAACAAAAGAGCGAGGCAAAATATGAACTGAAAATATTGATTTATCACGAATTTCGGAAAGCTATATTGACTTTATGGTCGGGAAATCTTCTGAAAGTCGTATAAATATATTATCGAAAGATTAACGTCGTGTCTACACGTGGGACCATAATGTCATGCTTCCGAGGCAAATGGCACTGTTTCAACACTAGCAAGTGTCGATAAAAAGGAGGGGCCATAAAATATTAAATCTTAATATTGAAGGTGGGCTTCCGGTCGTGGCAAAATGTCTTGCCCACGACACCGATGCTTCTGTTAAAAAATTTACGCTCTCCCTCTCTCTCTCGCTCTCTCTCTCTTGTACACACGTCGCTGTTTGAGGATGTTCAGCCTGGTTCGTGACCAGCCTCGAGGTTTGCACGCGGGAACGTGTGTTTGCGAGAGCGTGTTCACGCGTCTACGTGCCCGCGGTCGATCACGTATATAAACGGCCTGGAAAAACCGACAGAGATGAAAGTTTAACACCCGGCCGGTTGCCGCCTGAATTTTAGTAGTAACTTCTTCATTTTCTTTTCCTCTAGAAAAGTTGCTTCGGCAAACAAATGGCTGAGAGTGTATTGGAATTTTGATTTAAGAGAATTGTAGAAACGGTACAAAGTGATTTTGGGCAATTGTCCATTGGGATTAAAGAAATAATATCTATATAGCTGCGATCATCTTTGTCGAAGCCTTTTAGATGTTTCTTCTTGGCAAACTTCAATTATCATAAATATGTAACTATCAGACAACGTTATGAACAGATTAAGCTATGTTAATCACTATGATAGGAAATGATTTGAATTTTTAATTTAATTGAGAGTTCTCCTGTGATGTACTTCTGCAATTTAATGATCCATTTGTCATTTACAACCGTCCCAATTCACTTGTCACTATCCAACGTTCTATAAAGCTCAGTGGTTTAGATTCTTCTTATACGAGCACACACACACACACACACACACACACACACGTGTCTATCTTTTTTTTTACCTGTTTTTGTACAACGGAATTGCAGCAGGCTTCAGTTTCATTTCGGAGTTGCCAGACAATCTCGCAGTGCGCCCGCCTATAAACTGCAGGATTCTAATTAAAACTTGGAGGATTTAACGTTTCCCTTCTATCTTTGTAATTGACGTATTGTAAAGCCGGTGAGGGAACGTTAAACTTTTGAAATCTGTGCCGAGATTTTCCGTTTTAAAAAAAAAAACTTTCACTACCTAAGTTCCATTGTTTCATTAGGTAAAAGCTTTTACTGTATTTATTGCCCTTCTCCTTTTCAATTAAATTGGAAAAGTTAAAGTACATATGGTACGTCGAGTTAAATGAAATTTCTGTTGTACCGCTGCAAAATTAACCAAAGCTGCTTAACACCTTTTGTTTGTCTTATTTTTCAATTCCACTACTACAACTTTAGCTAATTAAATGTAAACAGTTTTTAACTCCAAATTTGTTTCCAAACTTGTGGCAAATTTTTAAATGCCATGCATGTTGCACGATCATAGATCCAGCATTGTTATCAATTTCTAATATTTATAATTTTCTTGTTGTCATTCAAGAAATTCATTTGTAAATCGGAAAAATTCTTCATTTAATTATGAGAGAAGAATAGTTTTAATATTTGTTTGCAGGTATTGGCTGGACCGTGGTGATTTCAAAATGACACTCCGCTACATGAACCTGCTGAAGGGTGCGCCCAGGTCCATTGCCAGGGACTGGATGAACGAGACCAAAATCATGTTGGAGACCCAACAGGCGGTGGATACCTTGCTGGCGTACGCCGGTTCCATAGGTCTGGTGTTCCTCGGCGCCGGGGACTCGAAGGTCAGTCGAAACGATTAGAACAAGGGAACAGACGCTACATAGGAGAACAATTTTTTTTTTTCTCTAGTTTCGTTAGGCTTTGTCCGTCGGAACGATGAATTCGATTCGTTGGATTGAGTGCTTTTGAAATGATCTTTTGAAATTGGAGCATGCAGTGTTTCATGTTTATAACTGCTGAGGTGCATACAGGTGCTGACAAATATAATGGATTATGTAAAAAAAAAAAGAAAGTATTCTCTAGTCGACAGTTTTTTATAACTTCTTCATTTGTTTGGCTCCCCGATAATACATTTAAACATTCTCGTTTTCCGACTACTATTTTTGCGAATCCGAGCGGATTACGGAACTCCTCGGATTTCCCAAATGCTGTAAGTGGAATTGAATCGCCAATAAAAAGACAAATAGCTACATTCGTTTCCTGAAACTATGTACTATTTTTGTTTTCTTTTTCGCCCTTTAGATCCACGATGAATCACGTAATAGAATTCATTTCTTCATGCAATTGTAATTCTTCATTGTCAAGCTCTTCATTGGTGCGATGTTACATACAGCATACTAATTATGAAGCTGATATTCATTTCTTATATTCGCGCTATAGATATCCTTTGAAAGGTTTGAAGCATAAATAATGTTTCTCTAATAACCAAGTGAAAAGTTCTATCTTAAGTCCACAGAATAATGAAACTGTAATTTAGTATAATACGATGGATCAGTGTTTTTAAAGAAGAGTGCTTCAAGCTTTTCCACATTCGTTTCCACACTACATTTCAATCTCATAGAATAGAAGTTCAATCACTACTGAAAGGATTAACCGATGTTGCAGCGTTAACAGCACGATGCACGATTTTTTGCTTGCAGTAAAAAAGAGAAAAGACAGAAAAAGACCGGTAAAGACCGACACAAATCGAAACGACTATTCGCCGGCCAGAGTGCTCGTCCCTTCGTGAATTCTCTCGCGTCGACAAAGAACCCTCCCTCGAAAAGAAAGCACACGAAAAAAAAAAAATACCAGAAACCGACCGAAACGAACCGAAAAGCGAAACCGCAAGCCGAGTGAAAACGAAATCTCGAGACCTCGAAAAAAAAACTAAATATGAAAAAAATGAAAAAAAGAGACGATAAAAGGAGGAAAGCGCAGATACTGGGAAAAACGTTCCTTTGCTTGTTGTTCGAAGTGTTCCAGTAAGGCTCGCGCGGAACAGGCCGTGGGTCGGCGAGCATGACGAAGCCGAAGAGAACTCGCGCGGGAACGCCGCCGAACTGGCGGAAGAGCTCGCAGGACGACGAGGAAACGTGCCGGGAGAAAATGGTCGTACGCTGCGGTCCGGACCACCGTGAACCGAGTGCTCGGATGGGAAATGTGGGAAACGATCACCGGGGATGAGAAACGAGCCGGACTCGAGCTCCTTCTGCGATCGGATTCCAATGCGATGACGGAAACGAAAGTTCTCCTGGTGCAGAGAGACGCACTGGATCGCTCGCTTTAAATGCTATATCTATTTTTATTCCAATCGAGTTTAGGAATTTCACGGTAAGACTGCTTGGAATTTTGCTGTCCAAGCTTTGGCTCCTGTATAAAATCACAGTCGCGGTATCTCAAATCTTACGTTTTAATTAAAATGTTTATTCTATTCCTTCGATGAGAATCACATTTTTATTGAAATGTTTGTGTGCGTGTTATTTGAGTGTCTGGGATTTCTGAGAACTGGATAAAAAGCGAGAGAAAGTTTCAATCGTAGGGATGTTTCCCGCAAGGTTAATTCATTTTGTACCGCGTCTCCTGTTAATCCAGGATTTGTCAAAACGAAACTACGCCATATGGAGCTCGTTTCAAACGGGAAAGCGAAAAAGTTCATGAGTCCCGGCAATCCTCTGGCAAAAACCAGGCCAAACTTGTTTATTTCGCACGATTCACTGTGTTTCGTTTTACTAAAAATGTTGAAGTAGGAATTGCACCTAACAAAAATTGTATATAGTATATCGAATATTTGAAACTTCTCAAATTACATTTGAATATTACACCAAATATCCTCAGCGTACAAAGAGATCTTTCGAGAACGTTTCCGCCGCGAGCGAGTTTCTTGTTTCCTAATCTATCTAGACAATCCAAGGTTATCTTGAATTCCTTATACTTATTATATTACATATTATTATAAATATTCTCGATCGACCGTGGATCGTCTAGGTGTCTTGTGGAAACCGTGCGAGTCGGACGAGTGAGAACTGCCTAGCAATTAATAGTGAATGATAAAATAAACGTTACGTCGATGCCGTCTGAACGAACCGCTGTTATTTCTTTCACCGAAACACAAGACCCCTGATCAGAGCGAACAGTTTCAACCCCTTAGAACGGACCAGAGGTTCCTCTCTCCATAACTCGAAGACACGTTCAACTTTTTCGGCGCACGTCATTAACGGGACTAGTTCGAAAGACACGTGTCTGTTTCTGTTCTTCTTTTCGCACGGAAGCTCGAGGACTCATTTAAAACGTGCCCTAGTGGAAAACGTAAGAAAAAACGCGTTTTCCGTGTCCATCCACTTACCTCTCGAGTGTTTAGGGTACCTAAGCAGGCTCAACGGACACAACGGGCTAAATAGAGCTTCTCGTCGTTCCGTGAACACGAGAAGCTCGAAAAAAATTATGCTAAGGCTTATAAAGGGAATGTTAAATGGAGAGTGAAATGAGGGGTGAGGTCCCATGTGTCGAGGGGTTGATGGTTCGGATCAAACGAAGAACGAGACGAATTGGCAGTGAATTTACGTGATGTAAATAGTGTGTTCATCTTTGTAGATTGCGTTGCGCTTCGGTGTTAAACCGGAAACCGTCGAACTGAACAAACAGTTTCTTGGTGCGGGGCAATAAAATGATAATTCATCGTTGCTTAAAATTGTTGTTCTTCTTCTTGTGAAATTCGAAAATCACTCCCATCTTGTTTCAATAATTTTTATCCCTTAGGTACTTTCATCTTCAAGACGCCTGAGTGTGAAAAATTGTAAGTATAACAAAAATTATTGCCTTTCTTTCTTCACTATGT